TTTTTTTTTTTTTTTTTAACACATTAGTATAGATTTTTGCGTTGAATGACAGGCTCTAAGAGCAGATTTAAGAAGTAGTAATGATAACAGATGACATTTACCGAAAATGTGTACCAGGCATCAAGTTTCCAATGTAATGTGTTATAACTGATTCAGTCCTCACAATAGCCTTATGGGATTGATGTGATTTTAGTCTCCATTTTGGAGGTGGGGAGATGGAGGCTGGGAGAAGTTAAGTCCAGTGATGGAACCGGACTTTGAACCAGGCATGTGATTCTGGGCTTACACTTAGGATCTGACTATTTCCTCTGAATTCTGGGGCATTACTGCATAACAGGAGTAGGGTCTGAGAGTTAGACATTCACTTTCTGGCTGTGTGCACATTCAGATGTGCAATCCTGGACAAGCTCCCTGACCTCAGCGACATGGGCTAATCAAACCCACCTTGCAGGGCGTTGATGCCAATGCGGGCTTGCTGCTGAGTAGCTTGCTCAGTGCCTGATTATAGCCCAGCGCCACTGTGGGGTCGACAGGGTGGTGAGGAGTCTGCTGGTCTCCTTCCCCCACAGGGGTGGTTCACTCGCTAGCGAGTCTTCCTGCTCCCCTTCCTCCTCACCCTTTCTGAATAGAGTTGTTTCTGGGTCATGCTTGGTTAAGAACACTGCACTTTGTCTCCGATTGCAGGGAAACCATGTAGCCATCCACTATGTTGGTGACCAAGCAGACGCCTGGGTTAGGAAGCCCGCTGTGCTGCAGGAAGTCCAGCTGGTGAGACCCTCTCTGCCAGTTCCCAGTGCCCCAGGGGGGCAGTGGTGGGAGGTTGTTTCCGTAACTGCCTATCACCCATGCCCCAACAGCCCACTTTTGGGACCTCAGACCCTTGACCTGACTCAAGCATCTGGATCCCGGACCCCTCCTGCCTCTGCTTTCCCCCTTTGTCCTTCCTGGCCTTTATTCTGGCCCTTCTGTCTGTGGTGGCTGCTTATTAACCTTGAACCTGCACCCTGGAGGGAGCCTGACTTCTTGTTCTGTATGAGTGCCCTGTGGTGACACACACACAGGCCCTGATAGCTAGAAGCGGGCATGTGGGGCTGGAGCTGGGTTCTGTGATGTGGTTTTAATCTAACTCATAGCTGAGTTTAGACTTGGATCGTTCTTCTGGTTTATTTGCTAGAGGCAGACTTTTGGGCACCTCTCAGCTTTGTTCCCTCATCTGTAAAATGGGAACAGCAATAGTCTTGTCTCACCAAGTCTTTCCAAAAAACTAACTGAAAGTATGTGACACCCATGGCACAGCCCCTGGCTGGAGGACACACTCTACATATGTGCTTTTGTTGTCATTGTTTCCAGATGTGTGAATTAAGGCATGAAAACATTGTTTCCTTCTTTGGTATTTGCATAGAGCCACCTAACGTCTGCCTTGTCACCCAGTATTGCAAAAAAGGAAGCCTCAAGGTAAGCCAACGGGGCAGACAACTCAGGCTTGATGAGTGGTAGCTAATAAAGAACCTTATCAGTGCTTTCTCCTGCTCACCCAAAGGCAGCCCCTCTTGGGTCTAATTGCCAGATCTGACTTATCTGGTTGCGCTTTCTGCTGGGGATCAAATTAGCAGTGGAGTTGCCAAGCATCCAATTTTCTTTGGTCTGAGTGGAAACTGTACAGGCTTGGTTCCTTCTCTGAAAATGTCCTGGCTGCCCCCAAATTGTGTTCTCGGGCCCACCCTTCTTTCCCTGGTATGTGATTGTCAGCTTTATGTGAGGCACAGGAATTGTTTGTAAGACTCGACTGTATCCTCTCTCCCATCCGAGTATTCACCAGGCCTGACCCTGCTTAGCTTCTGAGGAAGATGAGATCAGTGTGTTCAGGTGTGGCTGTAGACATGCTTTTTCAATACTGAGCTAGGTTATGGTGTCCCATGGAAAAATTTCAAGTTACTTAAGTTTAATGTGTTCTCTTTCACCTTATATTAGTTCTGGGCAACAACGTCAGAGATCCAGGAGTCAGCTTGTTAAATGTATGATGCCCACTGTGTTTCTGCTCGAGTCACCAGTGATATTTTGAATAATGATGTTTTCTAGGATGTTTTGAGACACTCAGATCATGAAATGGATTGGATATTCAAAATCTCACTTGCATATGACATCGTCAATGTGAGTATACCATGTGCTTCTTTAAGGGATAAACAAAGCAACAGGACTGCTGTTTTTGATCTCTAGTTTTCAAGGCTGATTATTTTCCAGCTAGGTCTTAGCTTTGGGCAAATCCTATTTTGGGATGTATTCTTTCCAGTTCTTTCTTTTGTAAATTTACTAATTCTCACAAGAAACAATAAGGTAGATCTACAGTTGCTCTCATTTCACAGATGGGAAAACGGAGCCCAGAAAATTCATATAATCTTCCCCAAGTCTCATAGATACTAAAGAGTGGAGACAGGATTCAAACTTAGGCACTTGTGAGTCTTATACTCAACTACTGTTCCACGCTGCTGCTCAGTAGGTGGAACTGGAGAACTGTTTTGTGTTTTGCAGCCGAGACCAGTAACTGTCACATCTAGATGCCCATTAGTGGCATTTTGGGATAATTCAGAGGGAGGTGCAGAGAGGGCTGTTCCTTCTTGCTGCCATGAGTGTGTGTGCATGTGTGCACAGAGGCATGGCAGCGAAGCAACTCAGGGTAGGCACGCAGCTAGAGATGAGAGGGGAGGGCAGGAGTGGAGTGGGCCATATTGTTTGCGCCAGCAGTCTGAGGCTGCTCTCCTCGACCTGGGTGGGCATCCGGCTGGCTGCCCTAAATACACGCTTTTACCCTGAGAAGGGCCGAGCCCATGGCTGGGCATGGGTCTGAATGGAGACGTCCCTCAGGCTGGCACGTGGTCAGCAGGCCGAGGGCTGGTCCTCAAGGTCAGTGAGCAATCTGGTCACCAGGCAGCATCTGCACCCAGCTGCCAACAGACAGACGCCTGTGGGGAAGGCTCTGCTGGTCGTGGTGGGAGCTATGCCCTCCTGAAGGACTGGGCCACTGACTCACTGAGAGTCTCTGCCAGGCTCCAGCCCTCCTTTGCATCATGACTTAACGTGGGCATAATCAGTGAGGTTGGCCTGGCTGGCATCCAAGGGTTCTCCTTCCTCAGAGATTTTACTGCTTTTTGTTTCCAAGAAGCTGAGTCTTACAGCCTGGTGTGAGTTTAATTTTCTAGGTCACAGCAGAAAGCCAGCATCTTGTTGGCAAGCAGGGTAGACAAAGAGAAACCTCTCTGTGATTTGGTCTCCAAGGACAACCTTGGAGTACTGCTGTTATTGCATTAAAACTGTAATGAGCATCTGTTAAGGGTTTATGCTACTCTAAGGCCCTTCTGCAGGAAGACAAGGACTTTTGGCTATCACACACCAATCGTAAAACAAGTCTTCTCTGCCAGGCACAGGGGCACATACCTGGATCCCAGTATTGAGGGAGGCTGAGGCAGAAGGATCGTCTGTTTTAGGCCAGCCTGGCCAACTTAGTGAGACCCCATCTCAAAATAAATAAACAAACAAATAAGTAAGTAGGTAAAAATGGCCTGGAATGTAGCTCAGTGGTAAAGCGCCTCTGGGTTTGACCTGGTACCTACAAAAAGGTCTTCTCTCTATGTCTCTTTGAATAGCATCTCCTTTATGCCAGGTACCAGAGAGATTCTGAGCTCTGGAAGGCTTTGCAAACCAAAGCGCAAATTGGACCTCAGTCTTTTGGAGTCTGGCTGGGGATGGCCCCTCTTCCTTGTCTGGTTTCAAAATGTGATTCCACTTTACCGTGTCAAAAACAAACCAGTCCCAAGGATAAAGGTGCACATGCAGTCTCCTGATTTTGAGGTGGGGTGGAGGGCAGTGGACTCTCCTGGGAGTTTCCTTCCGATGCAATAGTGGCCTCAGGGCTCTGGGTGAAATGGGACCATGGAGACTGGGCCTGTCAGCAGCAGCATTTGGACTGTTGTCCAAGGTGCAAGCCTCCGTTGTGGACATCCATGCCGGTGCCACATTGCTGCAATGTCCGGGCATCCTGAGGTCAGGCCACATGTGACTTCCTCACCCTGCACGGCTGGCTTTGAGTTGCATTGCGACCTGGCTGTTCTTGTGAAATGGTGTTTGGGGTATAAATGTGCTCTGCCCCACGCCTGCCTTTGTTCTCTCCCCTCCCTCTGCTCTACAATCCCAGGGCAAAGGAAATCGCAAATTTTAGGGGCTTACAAATGATGGGCTTTGAAAATCATCCACCCTGGGTTTAAACCCAACTCCGACCCTGACTCCTTGGGAGTGATTTAAAAATCCTGAATTGTCTCATTGTGAAACCGAGACTGAGAATATGAACCGGCCTCAGCAAGGCTACATGGGACGATAGTTATAGAGCACTTTCCACCATGCACAGTACGAAGCACTGAGAACAGGCGGACGCCTCCTTATCTGGTCATCACAAGTCCAGTGTGGAAACTGTAGCTAAAGCGAAGCAGCCATTTCTTGCCATTCTCTGCCCTTCATCGACCTCTTTCATCGGCAGAGGGGTAGCTGAGGGTTGGTCAAGGGCGCAGGTTGAGAATCAGACAACAGGACTCTCAGCCCAGTTCCATCACTCCCAGCCCGGGCACCTGGGCAAATTAATGTCTCATCCCCTCCTAACATGATAATATCCTTCCGGTTCTCAGGTTATTAGGAGGGTTGGATGAGTTAGCTCTGTAACATAAAACAAAACAAAAAAACCAGAAAATCCAAACCAACCCACCCAAGAGTCATCGTCATCTTTTGTCACTGACAGAGGCAATGTCTTTGTTTCACTCTCGCTTTGACGCCTCTTGTGTGAGGCAGGCGAGAGGCTGCCCAGGATGATGGAGGAGCAGGCTCCGTGGCGGCCCTGTGCCGGGGAAACTCTGAAGCTGCTGGTTTTCTCCTGGCTCCCAGCAGTGCTTGGAAAGGGATGGTTCAGGGATTCTGGTTAAAAGCTCACAGAGCTTTTATATCAGTACCCAAAAGTCCAAGAAAGTGGAAACGTTAAATCAGTGTTAGTGCAGTGCCTGCTGGGGGAAGCCATGAAAGAAGGTAAGGAAGACAAAGCAAGATGAGAACCAGCGCCATGTTGCCAGCCCTGCCTTGCACTTCTGAAGCACACGGCTGGGCTTTCCCAGTTTGCCCTCTCATCACCGCTTCCTGGTCTGCGCCTGGGGATTTCAGAGGGCTGCAAACACCCATTGCTGCCATCATGGTTGGAAAACAAGCATGAGTCTTCATTCTGTAAAATGATATCTTCTCCTCCCTGTCCTCCCAGAACACGTCTCTCCCTTCTCCGCCCCTTCTCAGTCCTTGCTTTGGCCTCTCCCTTCCAGGGGTTTTTCTCACCCCTGTGACTCACCTTCCTTAGCAAGTGTCTCTGGAGGAGGCCACTTTCCCCATTCCAATCCTCTGCTGCTTTGGGGTCCTTAGTGGTCGTGCTTGGCTCGGACCCTCTACTGGTGCCCAAGCATGGTGTGTTGGTTTGGTTTAAGTTCCCAAGGAGATTCTGACGGGCAGCCAAAATTGGGCACAACTGACCACCACGGGTCTCCTCAGCTCGTGCGGACATAAATCCCCTGGCATCCTTGTTCAAATGCACTGTGTGACTCGGTTGGTCTGTAGTGGGGCCTGGGGTCCTGCATTCCTGCTAAGCTTCCAGGCCATTGTTTAAATAGCAAGTCCCATTTCACAGGTGGGAAAATCAAGACCCGGTCAGGTGAAATCACTTACTTTAAGAGATAGATTGGGAGAGCCCCGGCTTGGGTACATGTCTTCTGACTTGAGGGTTTTCTCTGCCCTCTTCATAGCGTGTAACCACTAAGAACACAGAAAATAATGATGATAATAATAATAATATAATAGAATTATAATCATAGTGGATGAGAGAATTTCTCAGTGTTCCTCATTTTATGGCTTGTTTTCTGCAAAGTGCTCAAACAGGGCCCTGAGGCACGTGTAACAGTGTATCATTTAGTATATAGGCAATAGTGTGTTTAAGTTACACAGTGTCTGTAAATTATTAATCTTTATTGTAATAACACATTCATTTATTATATTTATATAATTTTTATTACATTTTACATCGGGTATCCTCTCTGTATTACGTACTGTGTCTGGCATTTTGCTTTTATGACTCCATTTAACCTCCATAATCATACTCTGCAGGAAGTATTATGGTGTCTTCTATTTTCAAGAGAAGAATAAGGCTTTCAGGATAAAGCAAAATGGTGGAGATGGGCTTCGGGCACAGGATCTGTTCACGAGGGTATATTTAGTGTAAGCTTCCCTGGCCTCCTTGGCTCTTCACTGAGGAGCGGGAAATAGTTTTCTCCCTTGTGGGTGTCTGTGTGCAGGCTGACTCCACGGACCAGGGTGGTTGGGATGGCTCTTTGACCAGAGGTAGCCAGGTGGCCCTGGCCCGTGTGTCTGCCTGTGTTTCAGTCCACCTGTTCACCTCTGTTTCTCCTGCCAGGGCCATAGGACCTGCTCGGTGTCACTTTCTCATTGTCACCCTTGCAGGGCATGCTGTTCCTCCACAGGAGCCCACTGGGGTCCCATGGCAACCTGAAACCTTCCAACTGCCTGGTGGATGCTCGCATGCAGGTGAAACTGTCCGGCTTTGGGCTGTGGGAGCTCAAGTATGGCCAGACACACAGAACATACAACGAGAAGCTCACGGACCACACAGGTAACCGTTGCAAGGTCCTGCAGCCAGTAGTTGTCCGCTGAGTTATCAAAAGGTTTCTCTCTGTGTCTTTGCTTCCTGACGCACACTTGTCCAGGTACCACAGCTGGACCTGCACCTCCCGCCGTGCCGTGGGCTGCTGCACTCACTCTAGGAGGATGACAGGCAAAACGGCTCTGCTCTTTAGCCCCGTGTCCCTTGCAACGTTCACCCTACGTTCTCAGTGTAGACCTTGAGGTCTAGCAGATGCTTTAAAGATGACTGAGTTCCACACTTGTCTGTCCTGTAGGTGGCAGGCTCCACTCCCCTTAGCGGCCGAGTCAGAAGACCTGAAGATGGAGTCTGGGCATCTGTATTGTTTGATCAAAGTGCCCAGGTGACTCTGAAGCGTATCTCAAAACAACACCCATAGTTCCTACTCCATATAAGCAGCCTAGAGCTCAATGAGTCTGCCTACTTGCCCAAAGTTAATGCATGCCCTTGACTCTCATCTTCTTGTGCATCCGAGGCCACACTAAGCCCAGGGTCCTCAGGCCTGCACAACTCTGCTGGGGCAGCTCCCTGAGAGCAGCTTTTCTGTGCGAATGTGGGAGGTTTCCGTGCCATGGAGCAAGATAATGTCATACAGAAAGACGGGGAGGTTTTCGGAAACTGCTGGTAGCCACTCCTGGTTCTCATCCATAATATATCTCCTTTTACAGACTATAGGCTATAATAATACGAGGCATGACTGAAAAATATGGTGTGTGTTTCTATTTAAAAAATTTCTTACAGTAAAAGACACACGGGCTCTAATCCTCCTCAGAATACCCTCCCCTGCTTTGCACACACTCATCCCACTATTTTTGCCACTTTCTGGAGCAGTTCTGGAGGTGCTCTTTCATGACTGTCTTTCTTTATGCTGTAACGGCGGCTGCCTCCGTGTTCAGAACCATTTCAAAACGTTTACCTTTTATGGTCATTTTGACTTCGGGGAAGAGGAGAGTTGCCAGATCCTGTGCGTAAAGTGGATGAAGACGCACGGCGGTGTTTGCGAGCCCGCCTTTCCACTAGGTGGCGCTTGGTGGCAGCAGATGTTGTACTGATCACACTGTGCAGACACTCAGAAAACGGGGCTTCCAGCGCTGCTTTAGAAGGTAGCAAGGACAATGGGCTACGTGTGCTCACCGCCAGGAGGACCGTTCTGAGGGGGATTAATGGCCGTGCTGTCTTTTACTGTAACAGTTTTAAAAAATTACTGCATTTTTCAGTCACACCTTGTATAAAACAATAGACCTTCCTACCCCAAAAAGTAGATACAGGAAACGTTCAGAACAGAGAAATCTATAGGAATAATGCAGATGTGTGGTTGCCAGGGGCTGAGGAGAACAGGGAGAAGCTGTCTAACGGGTTGAGTTTTGTTTTGCAGTGGCAGAAGTTTTGAAACTAGATCAAGGTGATGATTACGGAACGTTGTGAAAGTGCTAAATGCTACTGACTTGTTTACTTTAAGAAACTTAGTTTTATGTTAGGTGAACATTACCTCAGTGCGTTATTTTTTTAAAAAAAAATTACAGGCAATAGGAAAAAGAAAGAAAGGAGGACACCACAGTAACGAACAAGCGACTCTAAACTCGTTACGCACATCCTCCTGGCTCTTTTCTCCCAGCTCACTCCCATGGAGCCCTGCTCCATTCTGGTCAGAATCCCCAGGGCTGGGTTTTCAGGGACCGGATTCTCCACATCCGCTGAGGATGAAGCAAGGGCTGGTTTCCTAAGGTGCTTTCACTCACTCCACACAACACCCCTTTCCTTGCAGAGCTCTACTGGACGGCGCCTGAGCTCTTGCGGCTTCCCCAAGTGCCCTGGCGGGGCACCCAGAAGGGAGATGTCTATAGCTTCGCTGTTCTCATGCGGGACCTGATCCACCACCAGGACCGCGGGCCCTTTGAGGACCGGGACGAGGCCCCGGATGGTAAAGCTGTAGGATCTGCTTGGGAGGCCTGGGTAGGGTGGGCTGGCTTGTAAACACTTGTCCTTATTGTGCCGCTATTTATAATGCATTCCATTCTTATTTTTCTAATTTAAAATTTGGTATTCTTAAGTTAGAACATGAACTGCATGTGGTTAAAAAATCCAGGGACTCAGAATGGTAGCAGGTAACGTGCTGTGTTCCAGCTGATAGGGTGAGCCTGTCGGAAAATGCATCCCTTCTCTCCTCAGAATCCTCCTGTGACTCCCCACTGGGGAGTTTTTACCAAGTCTTTTGCGTGGCCCAGAAGGCTCTGAGGTCCTCTGAATTCCCTGGCCTCTGTGTCCTACAGTACTCGTTTCCCAGGGCTGCGGTGATGATTACTAGACACTTGCTGTTTCTTGTAGAGACCAGAGTTCAAGATCAAGGTGTTAGCCAAGCCCAGGTCCTGACAGAAGCTCCAGGGAAGGCTCCATCCCTGGCCTCTTCCAGCGTCTGGTAGTAGCTCCAGCACTCCTGGGCATCTTCAGATTCCCTCCTCGGAGTGTTTGTTCTCTCTGTGTCTCTTGTAAGGACATTTGTCCCTGAATACAGGCCTGCATGGATAATCCAAGACGATCTCCACAAAGACCATTTTCCAAGTAAAGTAACACTGAGCGATTGTGAGGATTAGGATGTGCCCGTAGACCTTTGGCAACCACCCTTCATTCCGCCACACCTTCCTACTTCTGTCTCCCATGGCTCACCTCTTCCAGGCACACTGGCTATCGTCATGTGCCTCCACACTACCAGACCCATGTCACCCCAGGCCCTTTGCATGTACTCTTCCTTCACCTCATCTTCCTGTTTACAAATCTGCCTCGTTCTTTCTTAAGGACGATAGAAATGTTTGCAATTAGACTACACTGTATATTAGTCATGGATATTCACTTTGTTTCCCATTTTCTGCTCTACAAATTGCAGCGATGGCCACATATGGTCGAATGTTTCTTCGGGATAGACATAGCCATGAAATGGAAGTAATAACTATATTTTAAATATACTTAAAATTTATGATAAACGCCACTCACCTGTCCACTGACAAAGACTGTGTTCCGGCTTGGTGTTCTGCTGTGTTGTCTCTTAAATGCCGGGGGCTGGATTTCAGCCTCAGAGGTTTGATGTTGTCTGGGAGCTGCTTAAAACGCAGGGGTCAGAAGCTCCCTGGGTGATGCTAATATGCAGCAGCTCAGGTTGAGAAACAAGAGAGGAAGTCTGCGGGGTGTATTTCTAAGCAGACCCAGCCCAACCTTCTCTCTCGATTTTTTTTTCTTACCTGCCAGCCAATTCTAGATCCATCTGTACTGGTCTAGCTCATGTTTCGTCTTTACCTGAGCACATATTCCTGAACACTTCTTTTTCTTTTTCTTTTTTTAAATTTCCATTATATTTATTGGTACATTTCAGGTACACAGTACAGTTACATTCATCATTGGGATCTTGTACCTTTACATCATGGGTCTTGGTTCTTATTTTCCCCTATTCCCCAGCCCTTCCTTCACCCCCTCCACCCTTCCTTGTTTAAAAAGACTTTGTTTCCATGTTTTTCCTTTTCACATATTTGTTCTTTTCCCTTCTTACCTTTCCCTTACTCCTCCCACCTCTCCTATTCCTTTAGATCTTTTCTTCCTGTTACACGTTATCAATTACACGTTTTGATCCTTATTTAGGCTTTTAGTTTTTCACACTAGAGAAACTATTCAGTATTTACACTTGTGAGTTTTATTAATTTCCCTTAAGCGTATGGCCTCAATGTGCATCCACTTAGCTACAAATGTCTCTAGTTCCTCATTCTTTATGACTGAGTAGTATTCCATTTTATAAAAAACTCACAACTTCTTTATTCAGTCTCCAGTTGGTGGGCAATTGGGCTGTTTCCAAGTTTCTGTTATTACAAATTGTGCCGCTATAAACATAGGTGAGCATATATCACTATGGTATGATTCTTTTAATTCATTGGGGAAGATACCCAGCAAGGGAACAGCTGGGTCAAATGGGACTTCTAATCCTAGTAGTTTGAGGTATCTCCATATTGATTTCCACAGTGGTCGTACCAGTCTGCACTCCCACCAACAATGGAGAAGGGTTCCTTTCTCCCCACACCCCCACCAGCGATTGTTATTGGTTGATTTCTTGATAGCAGCATTCTTTCTGGGGTGAGGTGGAATCTCAGTGTTGTTTTCCTCTGTATCTCTTGAATGACCAGTGATGTGGAACATTTTTTCATATGATCATTTGCTGCTTTTACTTGTTTGTCTGAGAAATGTCTGTTCATTTCAGGTGCCCATTTTTTAATTAGGTCTTGATATTTGGGGGGTCTGATTTTTAAAAAATTCTTTATATATTCTAGATAGTAGACATTTGTCTGAGGAACAGCTGGGCAAAAATTTTTACCAGCTGCTCTCTGAACACTTAAAGTTAGGAGACTGCAGTGTATGCAGTTAATTGAAAACAGGATTCCAGTTTCTAAATTGTGACTTAATGAAAAAGAGCTGAGAATGATCCAAACAAGCTAATTTGAGACCCAGGTGGACCTGACTTTGGACACAAATGGATAGGCAAATCCACCTAGACGGAGCCCAGGCGGGGCCCACCTGCCATCCTGAGGCCCAGCTGCCCTGGCCTTGCCCGTGGGAGTCTGAGCTGGGGCCGGGGGAAGTCTGTGGACAGTGCATGTACTGGATTCTTCCTTATCGTAGTCCTCACAAAAGTAAGGGAGAGCTGGTCCCATGGGCCTGGACTGTGTATACACAGTACGACAACCAGGAAGAAAACTCAGGTTGAGAAACAAGAGAGGAAGTCTGCGGGGTGTATTTCTAAGCAGACCCAGCCCAACCTTCTCTCTCGATTTTTTTTTCTTACCTGCCAGCCAATTCTAGATCCATCTGTACTGGTCTAGCTCATGTTTCGTCTTTACCTGAGCACATATTCCTGAACACTTCTTTTTCTTTTTCTTTTTTTAAATTTCCATTATATTTATTGGTACATTTCAGGTACACAGTACAGTTACATTCATCATTGGGATCTTGTACCTTTACATCATGGGTCTTGGTTCTTATTTTCCCCTATTCCCCAGCCCTTCCTTCACCCCCTCCACCCTTCCTTGTTTAAAAAGACTTTGTTTCCATGTTTTTCCTTTTCACATATTTGTTCTTTTCCCTTCTTACCTTTCCCTTACTCCTCCCACCTCTCCTATTCCTTTAGATCTTTTCTTCCTGTTACACGTTATCAATTACACGTTTTGATCCTTATTTAGGCTTTTAGTTTTTCACACTAGAGAAACTATTCAGTATTTACACTTGTGAGTTTTATTAATTTCCCTTAAGCGTATGGCCTCAATGTGCATCCACTTAGCTACAAATGTCTCTAGTTCCTCATTCTTTATGACTGAGTAGTATTCCATTTTATAAAAAACTCACAACTTCTTTATTCAGTCTCCAGTTGGTGGGCAATTGGGCTGTTTCCAAGTTTCTGTTATTACAAATTGTGCCGCTATAAACATAGGTGAGCATATATCACTATGGTATGATTCTTTTAATTCATTGGGGAAGATACCCAGCAAGGGAACAGCTGGGTCAAATGGGACTTCTAATCCTAGTAGTTTGAGGTATCTCCATATTGATTTCCACAGTGGTCGTACCAGTCTGCACTCCCACCAACAATGGAGAAGGGTTCCTTTCTCCCCACACCCCCACCAGCGATTGTTATTGGTTGATTTCTTGATAGCAGCATTCTTTCTGGGGTGAGGTGGAATCTCAGTGTTGTTTTCCTCTGTATCTCTTGAATGACCAGTGATGTGGAACATTTTTTCATATGATCATTTGCTGCTTTTACTTGTTTGTCTGAGAAATGTCTGTTCATTTCAGGTGCCCATTTTTTAATTAGGTCTTGATATTTGGGGGGTCTGATTTTTAAAAAATTCTTTATATATTCTAGATAGTAGACATTTGTCTGAGGAACAGCTGGGCAAAAATTTTTACCAGCTGCTCTCTGAACACTTAAAGTTAGGAGACTGCAGTGTATGCAGTTAATTGAAAACAGGATTCCAGTTTCTAAATTGTGACTTAATGAAAAAGAGCTGAGAATGATCCAAACAAGCTAATTTGAGACCCAGGTGGACCTGACTTTGGACACAAATGGATAGGCAAATCCACCTAGACGGAGCCCAGGCGGGGCCCACCTGCCATCCTGAGGCCCAGCTGCCCTGGCCTTGCCCGTGGGAGTCTGAGCTGGGGCCGGGGGAAGTCTGTGGACAGTGCATGTACTGGATTCTTCCTTATCGTAGTCCTCACAAAAGTAAGGGAGAGCTGGTCCCATGGGCCTGGACTGTGTATACACAGTACGACAACCAGGAAGAAACAGTGTGTGCTTAACTTATGGGCAAACATGGGCGCAGGTAGATTTTGCACTCCTCATGGTCCACTGTGCTGTAGAGTTCTGTGCGTGTGGACAGTGACACAATGCTATAGTATCATACGAAACGGTTTCCTCATCCCCAAACACTGCCCTGCACATCTCCTGTTCAATCCTCTTCCTCTTCAAGCTGGTGGCCACCTCCAGTGTGTTTCCTGTCTCTATAATTTTGCCTTTTCCAGGCTGGATGAACAGAACTATACAGTGCACAGCCTTTTCATCCTGGCTTTTTTTCTTCTTCTTCTTAGTAGCATGGATTTAAGATTCACCCACGTTGTTACAACCACCATATTTTTTGCACCAAAAAATATGTATATTGTTCTGAAAATACTCTTTCCTGTATGAGTCTGGTTGGGTGGAATGTGTAGTGAATATTGGTAGAGGCCAATGAGGAAGTAAGAGAAAGTAGCTTTACAATATTGGATAGAGGGAGTTGTGTCACGGTTGTATTTATTATTTGTTAAAATTACTTTTAAGCAGCATATTATGTGGAATGCAGAATTGCACAAAGTATATTTGGTGATGGCCAGCACTAAATGGTTATCCATCCCTAAGTCATGTGCTAGTATGATTCCCTTCAAGAAAAGTTCTACTAAAAAAAAAATCTTGAATTAGAAGCTGATTAATTAGGGAGTGCTGATATGTTTTCCATGAAAATTCCTCATTTTCCACAAGGATTCAGGATATTATTAAATTATTCAAATTGCTTTGGAATTCTAACATTCCACTTCTTTGAAACTCAGTTTACAAAGAGCCCAGTTCATGTTTAAAGGGAGGTATTTTGAGTGACAAAGTTCAGACCTCTGGTTATCTCAATCCCAAATCAATTTCAGAAATCATCAAGCAAATCAGAGAGCCCTCAGCGCCGGAGCCCTTGCGACCTTCACTGTCTGAGGAAAAGGGCAACACAGAGATCCTGCTCATGGTGAGGGCCTGCTGGGATGAATCTCCAGACAGAAGGCCCACTTTCCCTTCCATCAAGAAAATTTTACGAGAAACCAGTCCCAAAGGGTGAGTTAGATGTGGAAAAGAATGTCCTTCCAGTTGGCCACTGGAATTTTAAAACGCATGGCTGTGACGGTTCTTTGTGGCCCTCTCTCTCTGTCTCTCCTCCCCTCCCGCCTTCCTTCGCCATGTCTTTACTCAGTGCCCACCCTCTCCAACATGAGCTGCTTAAAGTAGAGCAAGAAGCCTTCCCTTTATTTCACACAAATGTGTCAGACATTAATAGTTTCACCACGCTCTTCCCCTGTTTCAGACACCGCTAATCAGTAAAGGCTCTCTTTCCCCGAGGGTTGACGTAGCCTCAGAATCTTTTTCAAATCAACATTTCAAGGTCAAGACAAATCAATTGGAATTGGGCTATGGGGTGAAAGCTCTTCACCCACTTTAAAGTAACCCCCCCCCCAATTCCTTATTTCTTTCTGTGTCTGTGATGCAGGGATGAAACCTAGGGCCTTTCACATGCTAGGCAAGTTTCCACTGTGGAGCTGTACCCGTGTCCTGAAGTAAGTCACTGACTTTAGATTCTGCGAGCCGCTCAAATGGTTTTCGCAGTGGCCGCTTTCTGCATGGCAGGGTCATTGTATCATTGGTTGGTGCATTGAATGTATAAAGGTACCACGTGCTACAAGCAGCTTGAGTTGGTAGAAGGAAGTCGGGCTGAGAGTCAGGCATCCACTCCTAATTTGGCCATTTAGCTGTGTGTATGTCAGCCCTGGGTTTTCCAAATTGTAGTAGTTTGATTTATTTATTTATTTTTTATTTTTTTGGTACCAGGGATCGAACTTGGTCCTTGCACCTGCCAGGCAGGTGGCAGAACCACTGAGATAAATCCCTCGCCCAATTGTAGTAGTTTTAAAATTTCTCAGTTTTTTATTATTTTTAACTGATGAATGAAGAAATATTTATTTTTTTATATAAAATGTGATTTCAAGTTTGAGTCTCTTCACCTCAATGATGAGGAATTGAAGTGATTTCGCTGAAGGCCTTTCTAAAGCGAGGACCGGTGGGATCTGGAGGCGTCCCTCTGGCCAGTCCAGGGGCATGGCGTTTCGATGCGGGGCACAGTGCGGGGCGGGAGGTCATCAGAGGCCACGGTTCACTGCCCTGAGCACTTGGTACCCATCACGTCCCTACCTGTGAGAAATTATTACCCCATTTCCCAAATGAGTAAACGGAGGCTCAGAAGTGAAGGGTGCAGCCTACGCCTACCGTGCCGGGGAAGGGGAGGGGGGGTCTGTGTCCCGCCACGTGGCCTCACGGCCCCTGTCATGCCATGGCTGGGCACCGGCAGCGCCGAGGTGGGAAATCACAGGGGCAAGGCCTGTGTTCTCAGCCGTGCGACAGGAAGCTGTGTGTTGTGGCGGCCCTGTGACTCCTGGAAGAGGGCCAATGTCTGGGTTCTCTTAAAGCCAGGTGAACATCTTGGATAGTATGATGAGGAAGCTGGAAGTGTATGCCAGCCACCTGGAGGAGGTGGTAGAAGAGAGGACCAGCCAGCTGACAGCAGAGAAGAGCAAGGTGGAGAAGCTTCTGTCCACCATGCTGCCCAGGTATCCCAGGCCTTGGGAGTCTTGACAAAGAGACTCGGGGAGCAGCAGCCCAAATAGCTATGAAGCTGCCTGCAGAGGGATTATTTCATTGTTCTTTTTCTACGGAAATGTCAAGTTCTTCTAAAAGAAACCAAGCATTTCTGGGCGTGTAATTTGGAACACTCTGTTAAGGGAGACGGAGGGACCCCCGCAACCCCCTCAATCTGTAGGAACCGAGAAAGTAGTGAGATCTTCAGCGTGGAAGATGATCGGTGAAGCAACAGCATAGGGCCACCAGAGGGCGCTCTAGGCTCATGACTCGGGTAATGACCTCAGTAAAACCTTTGGGAAATTTAGCGCATCCTGTTCCTGACCTCAGACTTAAAAATTGCTTCAGTTTTGGTTCTGTTGTCACGTGTCCACTCTCTCAACATTGGGTAGCAGCTATTGATATTAAAATTCCTGTACATTTCTGTGTCTTGTTCAAAGAAATGGAGGCAGGCATTTTAATTTAATAGTGTGAGATTCTTTGAAGGGGGGAAAAAATACCGATTTGTGGATGATTACATTCACTCTCACACCTGCAGACTAAGTCTTTTTATTTTTTGGTACAGGGGATCAAACTCGGGTGCTTGTGCCTACCAGGCAGGCAGCGACACCACTGAGCTAAACCCCAGATGACTAAGTCTTTATAATCAAACTCTACAACTGATAGGGAAAATGAAATGCATCAGCGGGAAAAGCCTTTTTATAGAGGCGCCTGTGCCCTGCAGCCTGTACCCTTCCCAGCTCTGCCCACCAATTCAAGGTACCCTCTGAGGGCAGCTTGGCAGCAGGGGCCTGTCTGTAGACACGTGAGATCCTGTTAAAAATGATCTTTTCTCCAAAAAAGCACAAGCAAAAAAACCCCCAAAGAAAAAACCCTTTTTTCTCTGGTTCCAGTTTCATTGGAGAACAGCTCATCGCCGGGAAGTCAGTGGAACCGGAGCATTTTGAGTCCGTGACGGTCTTTTTCTCTGACATCGTGGGGTTCACAAAGCTGTGCTCCCTCAGCTCCCCCTTGCAAGTGGTGAGGTTCCTCAATGACCTGTACAGCTTATTCGACCACATTGTTCAGTCCTACGACGTGTACAAGGTGAGGCCTGCGCCTGGCGCAGTGCTCCATGCTGGCTGTGCCCTGCGTGTAGCCTCTGTTCCCTTTCATTATTTTAATCCCACAGTAAATGCTTTTGGGGGGGCAATACTTGGGGGTCGGACCCAGTACCTTCACACTGAGCTACACCCCCAGCCCTTTTTATTTTTAATTTCTCTCTCAGTTGCTGAGTGGTATACGCTGGGTCCACACCTCGGTCTTCCTGCCTCAGCCTCCTAGAGTGCTGGGATTAGAGGTCTGCACCGCCGTGTCCTGCATTGACCTTCTGTGGGCTAATTTCTCCCCTTCTCTCCTGAATATACTTCCTCTAGGTTCAGGGAGGCTCCCATCTTATCCTCCTTTAAAGCCCGCCTTTGGGTCTAGCGTGAGTCTCGTGTCTGTGGTTATGATCTTCTCGGGGCGAAGACAAACTCCCCAGGTCTGGACCATCAGACTCTGGGCTAAAGGAGAGGTGGCCACAGTTCGCTCCTGGTGCTACTCATGAGATCCGTGAATATGTCATCTGAGAATGGAAAACAGTGTGGGAGGGGAGTGCAGAAACATTAGTATCACGTGATTTCTCTTATATGAGAAGCCCAAACTATAAATGAATTAAAGTGCAAAATAAAAGGTAATAGGAAGCAGGGAGATAGAGCTTTTGCAAACAAGAAGGACACCAAGAGATGGAGGGAGAAGGGAGGGGTGGGGAGGGGGTGAAGGGAGGATTAAGATGTGTTTGTACGCCCAAATGTGTACTAATAAAACATTTTAAAGGTCAGCTTTGTTTGGTGGTGGCGCTGAATTTTCTGACAGTTTCAGTGGGGTTGGAGGACAGTCCCAGGGCCAGGGCCGTGTGTCTGTGTCACACATGCCTGGTGACAGCTGCTTATGTGCCTGCCTGACCATGAAGCCAGGACTCTGTCCCTGCCCACCATCCGGGACCAGTGAGATTTAGGGGACAGTGTGGCCATAGCGCTCAGTGACAGGTCCTTGGTGTAACCCCCAAAGTTCCCCAGAAAGGATGCCCATGTTCAAAGATCTGCAAGAGCAGATCCCCTCCCCAACAAAGCCAGCACCCAGACAGCATCATCCAGGCTTTTCCTGAGTTACCTTCTCAGCGATGCTAATGTTGGAGCCCATTCCTGTTTCTAAAGAATGTTCTTGTGCTGGGGAGAGGTAGCCTAGAAGCAGCCTGAGCTTGTGGACGAGTTGACTTTGTTTGTAACTTGAGGGTGAGCAGCACAGAAGTGTTCTGATGGCCTGGCTAATGCCTGAAGAGCCACCTTTCCCAAGTCATCTTTGGATTCTGCCAAATATAATTGTATCTGGACAGGGCTGAAGCTTTCAGCTTCTGGTTGGTATTTATTTCTCTATTGTGAATGAAAGCTGACTTTATTCGAGTGATGGAGGGAGGAGAAGGCAGATAAAGGGGATGCATGTGTTTCTATTAATCTGTGTATGTTATTTTGTGTGATATATCATGTGTACGTATCTATAAATGTATATAAGTTGGGGAGGGGAGGACGCTTGGGATTGGATGGGTTGCACCCACTTAACGGATCCACCTAACCCTTCAAGGTGCACCCCGTCAGTGCACTGCCGCCTGACTGGTTCTGAACTTGGGCCAGGGAAACACGGTCCCCACCACGGTCGGCTTGAGGACGTGAAGTTTTGGTGGGAGGAGGAGGGCTCGGCGAAGGCAGCCTTCATGGAGAAACCAGAAGGAGAATGTGGACTTGAAAAAATGCTGGGACTTAGGTGGGGTGGAGGATTTGGATTCAGCAAACATGAATCTTCAAATATGGTGCGTCAGGCAGAGAGGAATAAGAAGAAGCTTGGAGCTATGACCTCGCCCCACCCTCTACCTATTGCCTCCCTCATAGAAGGCTTTTTTTTTTTTTTTTTTTTTTTTTGCTTTATTTTCAGGTTGAAACCATTGGAGATGCTTACATGGTGGCTAGTGGACTTCCCATCCGCAATGGGACCCAACATGTTGACCAGATTGCCACCATGTCCCTGAGCTTCCTCAGTGCCACCCTCCACTTCCAGATTGGACACATGCCTGAGGAAAAGCTCAGGCTCCGGATTGGCCTCCACACAGGTAGTCAGAACTGACGGCGGGGAATCTTATGCCCAGGTCTAAGGCTTTCAGGAACAGTCACTGAATGGTAAGAATGCCGGGGTGGGGTGTGCGGGGAAAGATGGAATTGTCTTTTTGTGTCAGGTAGGTTGCTTGGTAAGAAAAAGGACACAGTGACTCCAAGATGTTGAACCAAAAATAAGAGGAAAAACAAAAGCCAGGACAGTGCTGGCTACTTTTCCTCCACCTGTCTGTATTGAGTGCCCTTTAATGTGTTCTATTTTTGTCAAACTCAAGGGCGTGTTACCTTTGCAGACGTGACCCCTACTTGGTTTAATACTTTTCTGTCACTGTTTTGAAGTTTGTTTTCGTTTTGCACTGGGCCCTGAAAACTATGTAGCCAGTGTCTTAGTCAGATTTGGCCTTCAAATCTCACTGAAATAAATTCTGACCTCCAATCAGAATTAATTATTTCCATGTTTGTACCACTGTAGGCATTGTGTACACCTCTAGTTCATGAATAAACATGGTCATTCATCCTTTATGTTGCTCCCCACAAGAAATCTGTGGGTTGAGATGATGCCTCTTTGTAAATGCAGACAAGTTGTCAAACTCTGCCCCAAGAGAGCGCTTCACAAATATTTCTTGAGCTGCCCTGTAGACCCGATGCGCCCCCTGGAGGCGGGTTATGCCCCTTTCTTCCTGTGTCCACAGGTCCCGTGGTGGCCGGTGTGGTGGGAATCACCATGCCCAGGTACTGTCTGTTCGGCGACACTGTGAACATGGCGTCCAGAATGGAAAGCAGCAGTTTGCGTGGGTACTGTTTACTGCACTCTGTGAACCCAATGTCGCTGTCCCCACCCCCCAGGCCCCTGTCTTACACCAGGTGGTAGTTTTAGAAGATTTGTTTGAATTTTTCTCTCAATTTCCATCTGGGAGATTCGATCATGATTTGCTTCAGACAGCAGCAACCCCCTGGTGGGTAGACAGGGTTTTGTACTCTGCTCTCGTGGAAACACATATGCCTCCCCCAAGGCTTTTCATTCTAAACAGACACACACGTAATAGAGTAATTGAAACCGAGAGCAAGAGTAGAAGTTTTCCTGTGCAGGGATAGGCAGTAAGCATTTTGGCTTTATGGGCCATGGAGCCTACTGCAGTTACTTAATTGTGCTATTGTAGCTCAAAAACAGCATGGCCACGTTCCAATACAACCTTATTTACAAACACAAACAGTGGGGTGTGTACTACTTTCCCCATCCCTGTTGTATGGTCTGTGCTTACGGCTTAAAAAAATTCTTTGTCCAGTAACTCCAATGAGCACCACAATCTTTTGCTTTGCAGTAATTTTATTGCCTTGACTATTGCTAGACACATATACCATTTATCCATTCTGACACAGAAAAAAAAAATTGCTCCATAATTAAATTGGAAAGAGTTTAGGCTAACCTCGTCTTGTATTTATAGATTTCCCCACAAGCTATATAAATGTACACCCAATTTCCCCTCTGATTCCTTTTGTCTTAAATTCATCAACCAAGTCTCAAACATAGTTATGAACTTTCTCTTAGAAGGGAAGGTTTTCAGAACAAATTTGGAAGATGGTTGCTTATGTGCGCTCCAAACCCGAGTCCAGTTGTATTTTCACTAGTATGTCGCAGCTTATCCAGAAAGCCTGAGGGCCCAGGGAGCTCTCCATGGGGTGCTGACTGGGACACTGAGTCAGCCCTGCTTTCTGCTTTGCACCTGGACATGCAGAGTTTGAGCAGGCCCAGCGATGCCTGGGAGGCTGGTGTCCCAGGCTTCAGATGATGCTGGTGCTTTGTTCAATGAGAGGTCCCGGGGAATCAAAAAAATATGAATAGGTAGCCTCCCCTTCCAAAGCAGCCCTCTCCACTGACCTCTCAAGGTAGTGGGATAACGAGGCATTGGCTGGTTTATGGCAGCTCTTCGGATCCACGTCTCTCAGAGTACTGCAGGCGCCCTGCTGGCCATGGGTGGGTACCATCTGCAAAAGAGAGGCACCATTCCAGTCAAGGTAAGGCCGGGCCGCCATGCCCCAGCTGCTTGGTGTGTGTGCTCGGGGAGATGTTGAAGAATCTGCCAGGGTAAATGCATGTCTGCGCAGTGGAGCATGAAGAGGTGCGTGCAGACCCACGAGGTGTCTCTGAAGGCCTACTTCCTTCCCAGAAGTCCATGCGGTCCCTCACACATGGACTGGGCACACGATGCACATAGACAGACCTTGCACGGGATGCCCCTCTCTCTGCCGCCAGGGGTCTCATAGCTGCCACTTGAAATGCAGAGCAGTGAGAATTATAGTGCCGCCCTCTTTTCATCCCCTCACCTGAGTGTAAAGTGCCCCGATAGAAGGGACAGAGCCCACTGGCTTGGCCTGGGGGTACTGATAGTATTCACCTCTCTCCATCCTGCTTTCTCTGCCTTCTCCTCAGCCTGGCTTCTCTGTGTCCCTGGAAAGCACACAGTGCACTCTGGTCGTTCCCTTGAGGTTGTCCTTTCCAGAACAGGAGCACTTGCCCCTTTCCAGATGTCCTTGGGGACAGTCAGTGGTCACTGTGACACTAGAGGTTTGGGGGTGTGGGGGCCTCAAAGGAGACAAAGAGAAAGGGTGGCATCTGTACCCCGGTTTGCTGAGCTTGGCTTTGGCACACTGCGTCCTGTCCCCTGACTGCAGGGAGGAGACTCTCTGAAAGGTAGCCAGCTATGTAGACCTGGCTTGGGGTCCTGCCTGGCTCCGTTGTAATGTCTAGCTAGGGAGACTGGCTTTGTGGTCTGTAAAGTGACAGTGACAACAATCGGAAGTAAGGTTAGATGCCAACAGGTATGGGAGGAGCTTCGGCTGCTGCCCACCTCATACTAGAGCTCAACAGATTTGATTACTATTTGAAAACATTTTTTTTTTTTTTTTTTTGGTAACTCCCTGAATTCAGTCTCCACCAGCCCTCCCGCCGAGTCTGTCCATCTAGACTTGCCAGCAAAGCCCAAGAAAGTCGTCAAGATTCTGGGTGTAAGGAGGCGTTTTCCCCACAGGAACAGCTCCTGTTCTGCTGGCCGGCAAGGCCGACCCACCAGGCTTCCCTGGCAGCTGCTCCTCCTCTGGATTCACCAGCTTCTTTGCCTCCCGCAGGGCAAAGGAGAACAGACAACCTTCTGGCTGAAAGGCAAAGAAGGCTTCCCAGTTCCACTCCCTGAGTTTGCTGAGGAAGAAGCTGAAGTCCCTGAGATCTTGTGAGGTGGGTGTTTTCTTTCAAGATGTTTGTGATGCCACATGAAACCCTGTGGTATTCTCCCTGCTCTTTGGGACTTGTCCAGTGTCCTGCCGAGAAGCTGTAATTCTGGGGTTGAATCAGTCTCCCACTAGAGGGTGCCATCGGGCTGCCTCCGCACCCCGCCAAGCCTTTGCCACCAGCAGCGTGTCCTTAGATGGGGTTTGGGGAAGGAGGCGGTGGGTGGGGTTTGTGTACGGTGAACTAGCTTCCTGGGCATTGCCAGCGAGTCTGCCCCAGCTGCTGGAAATTTCCAGCCATTGAACTTGTGAATTTCTGGCGAACCCATTGGGTCTGGGACAGGGAGGAAAAGCCTCAAATCATCCCGCCTTTCCCTGCAAGACTCAGCTCCCAACCTGAGTACTTATTTCCCTTATGCGAAAATCAGCTTGCCAGGGGATGGGAACCCAAATGCAGAGGCGCCTCAGAGAGTGCGCAGGATAAAAGCTGTAGGGTATGAGCCGTCCCAGCAGGAGAAGACTATTACAAGAAGGCAGACCCTCAGCAGCGCTGGGAGGCCTGGGGCCCAGCCCTGACTTCCCGTGAGCACTGCAACTTCAAATAGATGATGTCCAGTCTTAGTTTATTGTCTGCTTTCCTTCCTGTGCTCTGAACCAAGACTTGCAGTCAGAGCTTGAATCTTAAGAGGAATTTTCACCCATTTTTGAAGAGTTGTTTTTTTTTTTTAATTCCCAACAAGGTGAATCCACCCATTGCTCTGATAATATTTCCTCTCTATACAAGAATAGGGTTCCATTTTGTTTCATTCAGTGGTTCTTTGAAAAGATTTACTGACCCACTAAACGCACTTACTGTACTTCTTTCTTCTTCCCTTGTAACTCCTCTCATCCAAGTAGTTTCATGTGATTTGAATACGGCAGGGCAGTTGGAATGGGACCTCTTGTGGTTCAGCTTCCCAGGACTGAAGAAGGGAGAACCAGTGAGACCCCTGAGCTGCTTTGTGGAGATATTAGGAAATGAGCTACCTTTTGGTTTATTGAGGGACTTTGATACCAAATTTTAACCAAAGGTGTGGTGGGTTTTTGTTCTTCTGCAGGAAATGGGCCAAGAAAAGTATTTTCCCAAATAAGGCCATCTTTATTGAGCCCCCAACGTTCCCCTTTGCAATGTTTTGTTTTCCGGAGTCACACGAGTGACTTCTACAATCCTCATGACCTCGTTCTATCATACAATTCTGTTTTTATGTGTGAGGCTGTGCTCCTCCCCAAGGCCTTCGGCACCGAGGGCTGACAGCTTTCAGCTAATACTTAGGAGGAAGAAAGGTGGAAGACATTTATATGAGGGGTGCACAGGAGCTTTCCCCCTTCCACTGCAGCATGGAGCCAATGGCCCAGGGTTTAATCTTTTCATTTTCCATACCTCCTTCTTTTGTGTAGGATCCTGGATCTCAAATACTTTGGTTAACTATGAAGGAAAACAAATCTACCTCTGCCATGAGCCCTCTTAAAGAGATAGGCCTGTCCCCATCCAACCATCCATCCATCCATCCATCCATCTGAACACGTCACTAATTCAGGAGGCATTTGTTAAGCATGTATTCTGTGACAGCTACCACACTGGGGAGAACAAGAGAACATGAAACTTCCCTTGATTTTTATCTCGTGATTTAACCAGGAACGGGTGCAGCAGTAATGCAGTGTTAGGGACTAACAGATCTATGAACAAAAATGAAGTAATCAAACAATGCTGTAGTGTTATTACTGGATATAGAGGTAATAGTCAGATACAGGGAAAATAATATTCAGATACAGGGGTGGAATTGCATAAGTAAATTGTCTGTTATTGTCTCATCTTTGTAGCTGTGTTAATGATGAGTGTATATTTGTTTCTTTCTAGCCCTAGCCCGCATGCTTACATAAATTGTGTTCACATAATAAAGATTTAGTTAATCTTACTTTCTCCATTGAACATTATAACACAAATGCACATACAAAACATACAAACAGGGCTGGGGGTTTAGCTCAGTGGTTCTGCCGTTTGCCTTACAAGTGCAAGGACCCGAGTTCGATCCCCAGTACCAAAACAAAACAAAACAAAAAAAAGTACATAAGCATCCACAAACACCCATAGGCATACATGTACACACACACACATATAAAAAGGCACACACAAGAATGACGGGGGGACAGAGACAAGAGACAGAGAGTGTTTAGGGTTAGAGACTAGGATTTCTGATAAGCTTATATTCCTAAAATCTATATCCGGTGTTTTTCTTTGTCAACGAAGGATACCCAAGGGAGAATGTGTGCGTATGTTTCCTCCTCCTCTTAATGACTGTTTTTTTTTTTTTTTTTTTTTTTTTTTTTAGCACTAGGAAGATTTTGTAAGAGTTTATTTTGAGGGTGCTTTCTCTCTTAATCCCTCAAAAAAGAAGTTGTAAGACAAGAAAGGTAACCAAACATCATGGAGCTTTTAGTTACCTTAAACCAAACACATCTGGTCATAGGCAAGAGACTTTAGGGTCCTACAGACAAGACACCTTTTCCCCCCAAATCATAGTCTCACACAATGGCTTTATCCCCTTGCATGGAGAGTTTGGAGTGGAAATGTGGGTCAGAACAACTGCAGGTCTGTGGTATACATCCAAGCCTAAGAAGCACTGGTTATAGAGGCCCCTGGGACGGTTGAGGAATTGGCTTTCCACATGATATATTTACACTGTACACTGCAGTGAGAGGTTATTTATTTTAAAACATTTTATTTATTCCATAGCACCAGATGGAGATATGTGATCATAAAACATACTGACAAAATAAAACCAAACTCATATAACATTGTTTTAGTCTGACAGCCAAAGACTTACAAATTTGGCTATCAGTTAGCTATTTAAGAGTTTTAGACTAGAACTGACAAAATATGTTTTCTGTCTCTCCCAACTGAGTTTGTGGAACAGAGAGCTCTCAAACTGGCGGAGGACCAGCTTACAGATGCAACGTAGATGCACTGGTCATTTTCCTCCAGCCTGTGACTAACCCCACATGCACCATATGTCTCTGGAGATTTGATAACTAGTTTAACTTCTGATTCCAGTAACACAACTTATAAAGAACTACCAAACTGCCGGGGACTTAGCTCAGTGGTTCCGCAGCCTGCCTCGCAAGTGCAAGGTCCCAAGTTCAATCCCCGGCACCAGCAAAACAAAACAAAACAAAGCAAAAAACTACCAAACTGAAGATTTTGAAACTTTTCAAATGCATTAAATACAGAGAGAGAGAGAGAGAGAGAGAGAGAGAGAGAGACACGGAGATGGTAACATTTAATTTCAAGTTGTAGCCCACTAGTTAAGTCTTTATACAACTAAGAGTAAAACTTGGGCTTGTCTGTCTTCCACCAATTCTCCAGCAGGGTTGGTTCATTCACTTTTTATCTGGTCAACAAATGTAAATCATTGATATTGTCTGCATTGATGTTGTCTGTATCACAGGGGTGACCATATTTTGAGGGTCTGCTCCCAAGTGATTTCCCTGGGGGTATTTGCATGTGTGTTTCTGATATTTTTTTGTTGGTTCCATTCTAAGGAACGTGTTAATGAGACAGAAACAAATGTTGGCTTGAATATTTTAAGTAAAGGCTAACTGAGGTCAGATCACTCAGCCCAGGGAAGATTTCTTTAGTAGAGCAAATAGGGGGAAATTATGAGACTATTACAATTGTGACAGCCGGCAGCATTTCATGTAGGCCGTACCACAATATTACAATATATTGTAAATGAATGTGAGTTTTTGTTCCTTTTATAGCTTTACTTGGTAATTTCCTTTTGATTTTTAGAAGTATATATCAACTAAGAGAATAAGGACTTCACATCTACCATATATCTCCGAGAAGTGTTGTAATGAAAACAAATAAGCTTAGTACTAGGGACTCTCAAGAATCTATTTCCTTTCTCTTAACTAAGTTTTGAGCAAAACCATCACATTCTACTCTGATTCTCACATCAATAAAAGATCAAAAGCCCCTGCTTGGTGCCCAGCTCTGATCTTCAGGTGGAATCGCACAGTCTCAAGACAAAGCCCTTGGTGGGCAAAGTTGGCTATTCCTGTGTGTTCCGTATTTAGCACTGACTTTGTGGTTGTGTCCTACATTCTCCTCGAAATGCTCAGCTGCCCTTAGTTGGTTGTGCAAGCCTTTCAAAGTGGAATAGCTTTCCAAGGAGCCTGCGGTCACCCTGACTTGAGTCTGAGAAGGATTCCTACCCCAGCTACAGGGGAGGGGCTGTCAGGATCTAGGGCCACAGGAAGTAGTGACAGGAAGTGGGGCACCAAAGGATAAGGATCACTGAATTCACAAGAATCACTGGGACACATATTTGGCAAAGCACTGTCCTCTGCTCCCCGACAGTGTAGTCTTCTGTTTGTTCTTTTTGGCAGAACAATAAACAAGTTTATCACCTCTGAGGTTGACTTGGGGCAGGAGCTGCGGCTTTCTGGCTAATTCCTACAGGACGGTGCCAATCCCCAGCATCAGGAGGAGGTGACACAGAACATCTGTGAACCAGAAAGGCAGGACACGGTGCTGAGAAACAGTGGTACGAAGGCCAGGACTACCCAGCCTGACTCCACACAACCTGTCAAGTCCTGGTCTTTTGTGGTTCCTCCTAAAACTCTCCACATTTTATGCAAAGTCATTTTTGTTCATCCCCCGAGGACGCTGTGTCTCACTTTTACCCACTTTAGGAACCTGACCAATAAACCTAGCTTGTGGACCTCAGGCAGGTGGGCATCTGAACTTGGATCACGCAGTCATGGCACGTCTCCCTGCCGGGCTCTTGCTGTAGGCCTTCCCTTGAACGTGAGCATCTAGAGTTGGACTTTAAAAACTTGTTTGACATGATTTTCCTTACTGATGAGAGCAGCATCTGCATCTGAGAGCTTATTAATAAATGAGATGGTCTCACTCCAACTCCTTGCCTAAGTCACTTCCTTCTCAGCAATCCAGTAAGGCCTTAGGACCCATGCCCTTCAGGTTCTGCCCCTATACATCATCATCACATACGAGGAAGGCCAGGGCTCTTTCCTGTCCTATTCACTGCAGTGGCCTCATCACCTAGAACAGTGCCTGGCACTTGTAACTATGGTTGACCCTCACTGGATGTTTGCTTCATGCTTGGCTCTATTTGGTGCGTTTGACTGTAACTGAACAGTCCGCACAGCACCATGTATGACCCAGGCAATTACCAGCCCAGCTCCATAGAGGAGGGGCTCTATGCTCATTGCTCAAGTTTACCCAGATAAGAAGGGGTAGGAACCATAATGGGGACTCCGATGTTTGGTGAATAAACAGATTATTGAAAGCCATGCTCTCCAAATGCGGGAATCTGAGGTGAGCCACTGAGGATGGCTTGGCTAATGCTGAGGGGCATGGGGTCCCTTTGATTCTCCTTCATCCAGTTGGCTCCCTGCTCCTCCCTCTGGGGCCCGGGGGCCGCATGGAGAGCACTTCTGACCTCTATGTCATGCAGGAGAGATTTAAAGCCTAAGTTTCAGTTCTTTAAGGTTTGGCTGGAGCTCTTTTGACATGACTATGTGCTTCACAAGAGCATTGCCTATGACATTTCCCAGAAGTGAAACCTTACCTGGGAAACTGCAGAGGCTCGGAAATCCCCTGCCTGGAGGGAGTGGAGAGAGAGAGAGAATGTGGGTCTTAAGGGAAAATCGCAGAAGGAGAGGTCTCAGAGTATTGTTTCTGAAACACAAACCTGGTCATAGCCCACCAGCCCCCCACCCGGCATGAAACCGAGAGCACCCTGTTTCCTGGAGGGAGGACAAAGTTCATACTGAAGTTCACGAGGGTTCAGCTCACAGTATCTGCTCCTGGACTCTCCGAAGGCAGAGGTTAGTAAGCTCCACGCAAAGGACCAGGTAGTAAATATTTTCAGCTTTGTGAGCCTCACAGCCTCTATCTCCACTACCCCACACATTCACCATAGTGTGGACAGCTAGAGACAGTGCTACACCACCTAAATGAGCAATGGCTGTGTTTTAATAAAATTTGAAAGGCACAGAAACTTGAATTTCATATAATTTTTGTGTTGCAATATATATATATGTATGTGTGTGTGTGTGTGTGTGTGTGTGTGTGTGTATATTTATTTTTTAAAGATAAAAATGGAAAACCTTTCTTTTAGCTTGCAGGTCACACAAAATCAGCAGGCAGCCTGGGCCTTGGGTAACTACACTCCCAGGTGGCTGGCTAAAGCCCCATGGATCTTGCTCAGCCTCAGGTTTTACCAGCCTTCGAGGCATCTTAATAATTTTCCACAGGGATCTTCTATAAACTCTGGGTGGAGCTGAATGCTCTTGCCACATACTTTGTTAGTGCTCTGGCTACCCCACCCCTTTTACAGGAATCCCTGACATTGCTAGATGGCCAGACCCGCAAGGATAGGATCAGTACCCCATTTCTTTATTACCCTGTGGGTTTTGTTTATTGCTCAAACTCCAGCGGCCAGCCCAGGCCAAGTAGGGCTGGATGCTTTATAGACTTGAACTTGACTTTCTTAGAACATTTCATTTTCTCTTTTGTTCACTGCATGCTTGGTTTGGAAGCTCAGCCCTTCCTAATTCCTTAGGGGCATTTGGCTTTGAGCTGTGGATAGAACTTTTCAAGGGAGAGCACTCAACAGACCTCAGCTCCTTCATTTGGCATGAGCCGCCCCTCAGCCCTGACCGGAAGACTCAAGCGCAGGTGAGAGTTGTGTCCACAGGCACACCTGACTCGGCAATTCAGTGAAAATGCCAAACTGGCCGTGCCTGTGGATGCAGCCCAGATGTAGGCAACCACGGAAAGTGGGGGCTTACTGCGCAGGGACAGCTCCACCACCAGGACGCCCCCTGTCTGGTCCTGCAGCATTCGCTTCCTCTTGTCGCAGGTCTGGGGAGACAGTTGGCGTGAGAAAGCAACAAAGGAAAGGGGAGATGAGAGGACCATTTGAAAACCAACAAACCAGATGGAGTAAAATTTTGCAACCCATGCATACCAGTTACCTTGTATTTGTAATTAGAGAATCCAGGGAGAAAACTTTATTAACTCCACAAGCTGGAAGAAATCCTGCTAGAAGAGGTCATGAACATTATGTACAGAAGATAATCGACTTGTAGTAAGGAGAAAGGCTGTACTTAGGGTTACTCTCACCACAGTGATTTCAGAAGTGGACATTAGCAAAATGTGCTCTGGTTCATTTCCCTTCTTTCTTCTTAAAAATGGGGTGTGACTTCATACTCAGGCATGTACGTGGTGTCTTACTCATATTCAAAATGTGCTCATGTCTTGGTCACCTGTAAAATGTGTCTCCCATCCTTCCCCTGGCTGGCGCCCTCTGGCTCCTTGCCTTTCTTCTCTCTGTGCTCATCAGCGAGCATTTTATGGCCATGTTCATCAACAGAAGCAGAGATGATAAGTTTATTTCCATGAGTGCCTGGGCATGCAGTGGGCAGCCTTTTGGAAACTCGGAGGCTTCCAACCCATGTTCACTGGAGAGGTCAACAATTTGGGATTCAGCACTTTGCAGTCCCTGAGGTGATGGCTCTGAACCTCAGTGAGCACAGATTGCCAGCCCTTCTCACTGTCCAATAAGCCTCAGTCCAGAATTTCTGCAGCATCTCTGCAGACTGTCTAATCAGGACTATAAATGCCCACCCCTTGAATTCCCTTGCACTTTTAACTTTTTCAAAGCATTACCGTGCTTGTTACCACCTTAAATTTATAGTGCATGGTCTGAAAAGGAAAGACAAACCTTACTTAGCACTGTGGAAGAAAAGGAACCAGGCCCAGTGGGGTAAGTGGCACATGCCACCCTGGGTAGGTGGTAGGTGGCAGGGAGGGCAGCGCTCAAGCTTCTCTCCCTGTGCCTGGGTCCTTTCCTCCAGGAAGCCAGCTGCACATGCCCATGCTGGCCAGGTCCCACCCTCCCAGCAAAGCCCAGCTCCTCAAGGACCAGCCCCCTTGGGTGACGTTCTCCCTCAGAGAAAGGTGGCTCACCACAGGGCAGGAGAGCTTCTCGCTGTCACAGATGAACGTCTCACAGTGTAACCAAACCTTGGAGAGTTTGGGGATGTTTTGGAACCGGAAGGCATTGAATTGGAAGGTTGCTCTGTGATCCTTCCCATTCTCGTGCACGAGGACTGTTTCATCTGTGGGGCAGCTGGGCACATGGGCAAAGGGACAGCAATGAAAAGTCACTCTGGGGAATTTCAGCAAGGGCTCTGAAGCTAATTTGTACACAGCAACACTCTCCTAGATTTGTGGGTCACTTTGCCCTTCTGGAGCACTGTGGCAGGTGGTATCTTCCTTAATTTTTGCAGTTATGAGGTTAAGGGGAGGGGCTACGAGATTGGCGTGATTGTTCCCATTCTATAGACAAGGGACAATAAGAGGAGTTGCTCCCCTCTCCTAAAGAAATGAAACTCCCAGGAGAGAAAGACTTCCCATGGCTTGGCACCTTGCAGACCCCCAAGGCGAACAAGAGAAAGGCCACAGTGCTGGAAGCAGCATCCTGGTGCTGCCACGGACACCCTCTTTCATGATGTTTTGCCATTGGGAATTTGAGTTTATGCTCCACTATTTAATAATATTTACATTATTATCTTTGTGGTCACGTTCTAAGCACAGAAAAAGGAAATGAGTGGAAAGATGGCCTCCAAATGAATCCCGCCATCAAGGCAGGATCTAAGACATAGCACGTCTGAGAGTTCATGCATGAGAGTAGGGGTGAAGGCTGTGACCTCAAGTCTGGACCAAGGGCGGAGCTGGCTCTCTTTGTGGTGGCCTCTGAGCAGTGACAGAGCTGTGGGCATTTTCCAGGTTATGAAATGAAACTCTTGTAGGACCATCTGACCAACAAAGCCGAAATCCTTGTGTGAACTCCAGAGGTGAGGCTTCAGAAATAGCTCTTTTCAGCCTGTGTGCCCCATGCATGGTGACCAGAAATAGAAAATAATGTAAGCAGAGCTTTGTTAGAAGACAGAGGAGTGAAATAATGAATAGGCCTTGACGTCTTGGCAGTGCTTCTCTCCGCACAGGCCTTGGCACCTGCCCTCCGGGACTGCTACTTCTGGAGGGTAGAAGTCCACCCGGGACAGTTTCACACCATTCCCATACATGTGTCCTTCTCCGCACTGGATCCCTCCGAGATGCGCGTGTCATCTACGTGCACGCATTGCATGGGAAAACCCTTGATACACAGGCATTCTCATCCCTCCAGGAACCCTTGACAACTAGGATTTCCTCCAAAAGGGCCCCATATGAACAGAAAGTGTCCTCCCAAGTTATCCCTAGCCAGAGCAAAGTAGGGGGGCTACCCCACCACTCAGGTTTGACTCTAGAGCGTGGTACCCACCCTTTGTTGATCAGCTGCCACTGCAAGGGATACATGAAGTCAGCCGAGGGTGTGGCCCAACAGCTGTTCAAGACCACTTTAAACCTGGGAACAGAAGAAAAGGACGTCACCTTGAGCCACAGATTCTAATGCCTAGAAATGTCTGGTGAGGAAAACGTCGCTATTTCTTTGTGTTTCACAATATAAACAGAGGAGATATACTTACCTAATGCTTAACCCTTTGGCTTCTACTCCTGCAAACAGATCTGAGCCGATTTCAGATGTCTCCAGGACAAAGGGGGCTTCTTTCTTGGTGGAGAACTTGGCATTCTTTGGAAAGAAATTGACAATGGGCGCTATGACCTCTCAGATCAAGCAGTTGGGTTCAGCAGGAACGGATGCATTGGGACAGGAATGAAACCAAAAGAGCAAGTGTGTGAGACCATGCAGAGTGACTTCCAGCACCAGAGAAGTTGTACCTGCTAGGATATCAGTGTCATCCTGGAAGGCGCAAAGACATCCCATGTTCTAGGTTTGCTGGTCATGGCAAATCACGTATATACATGTGTATCCATCTCATTCATGCTAACAAATTGGACTGATGGAAAGATAGTCTGATCCAGGGATGTTGAGGTACTATGTTTGACGAACCCAAGGACAAGAGGGACTGAACACATACAACCCCTCTCTTCCCTCATTTGCCTGTAATTCTTGCCTGAGCAGATTTCACACTGGCTTGGAGAGTTTATAATCGGATTCCCAGTACGATTAATAACAACAACAATAAAAAGCATAACTTAGTAACTGCCTAGTGTGCATCAGGCATTGTTCTCTATATTTGGATCATTTCTATGTTAGGGTTTTTCTGTATACTGAGAGATAGTAATGAACAAAACAGAGTTCTCTCCAGTGATCTGATATTCTAGCAGGAATGACAGACAACCGTAAAGTATACGGTGAGTTAGAATAGAGTATGTTACACAGGATAGCAATAAAAATGAGAGAGCAGAGTGAGGCAGATAAGACTGATGAGGAAGAGCAGGAGGCAACCTTAAAAACAGCAGTCTTGAGTTCTCATTGAAGAGGGAGCATTTGAGCAGAAAGTGAGGAAGAAAGTGAAGAAGAAAGTGAGGAAGGAGCCACACAGCCATCTAGGAAAGAATCTGTCCCTTTGGTTTTGTTCTGCCCCGGGAGACTGCCCTACGTGTGTCCTGACTCTGGGAGTCTGGTTTTAGATTCTATTGCTTGCATTTTCCATCCCTAGCTTTTGTATTTCTTTTTGTCTAAGAGGAATGGTTAGGAGTGTTTTGATGGAATAAAAGTCAACCTAATACCACACTGATATTGATATTCAGCTCTGTAAAGGTAACAGTACTCACAGCCCTTGGATCTTCATGTCAAATAGGGTAAAAAAAAAAAATCTAGATTCAGGGCACTGGCTATAGACTGGAGCACTTATATTGTCAGGCAGTATACTAGGTGTGTCCTAAAAATATTTTATTTAATCTTCAGAACAAATCTAGAGGTAAGTGTTATATATGCCTGCTTTCAAATGCAGCTAGTGGTACAGAGATGTTAATAAACTTGCCCAGCATCACACAGTTAATTAAATAGTGGACCTACTCTTAAACCGGTGGTCTGGTGGTGGCAGGAACATTCTCTTAACTGCAGTGCTACACTACTTCTGCAAGCTGACCACCCTTCCCTGTTTCGGATCAGGAGTTGGAATGACTTTTTGCTGGGAATACCAATCATGGGTCTTTGGCAAAAGTGAGTGGGAGAGACATGGGGAGGAAGGAAAGAAGAAACACGCCGAGTAGAACTCGGGCTTTCGGAGCCCAGCGTTTGGAGTTCTCAAGAATTGTAAGCAATTAGCAGGGCATTGATTCCATTGTGCTATGTAGGCCATGGCTCCCTTTCTGGTAATTTGGTGGAAATATATGCAGGAGGCACTTGCTGCTTCAGAAATACACAAGAAAGCCTTCAAAGCAGAAAAAGGGAGAGAGAGAAAAAAATACCAGCAACATGGGTCAGGTGCAGTAATGGAGGCCCATGGGGGAATGTTAATCAGTGCACACGTCTTTGGACAGCACAGCCCCCTCTTTCCCAAGGCCTGCTTACCTGTGGGAGGCCTTGGCTCATTTCTATGACAATGCAGGGAGGTGCCTGTTATTCTGTCTCTCCAGAGGGTGGCTGGAGTGATGCCAAGGACATGCCTCTTAATTGTTATTATTATTGTTTTTTTTAAAGAATAAGCTCTCTCTAGATCGAAGGCTTGATGTTTAGATCTGACACTTAGCCCAGAAAGGATGCTGGTGGGTGATGATGTTTGAAAATCCTGGTGTCTTTCTATTGTAAAACATTCACACGCTTGTATTTGCAATCCTATCTGGTTAAAGTAACAATTACTTGCTTCTGGACAGGGACTCAGGAGTAAAGGCAGCCTGTCATCAGGAAATCCACTGAGACTCGCCAGTGCACGCTGACCTAGCTCCCCTCTCACTGCCTTCGTCAAGGACTGCAGTGGCTTTGGCACCTTTTCAACACACTGGCAGCCCACGCTGTACTTATCCTCTGATGACAGATCAAGGGGCTGCGTGGGGTTCCTTTTCTCAGGACCTAACCATGACTGGACTGCGGCTAGGGGAAGATCTAGGTTTAGGGGACCTTGAAGTTTATGAAATTTGGAGAATCCTCTTTAATTAAAAAAAATAAGAACTTTGAATCTAAAATGAGATGCTGGGTCTCAAAAGGGGCCCATGGAGGTGAGGGGCCCCCAAGCTTAAGGTTTTTGACCTTCCAAGGAAGCACAGCATAGACACCATGATTAGGAGATCCATGCCCTAAGATGGGGGCGCTCCTCCAAAGCACCTGTGAGGTTTGGGGCAAATCCCTTCCTCTCTCTGGACTTCAGATCCTCATCGGGAACATGGACTGGGTTATTCTTGGTCCTCCCAGCTCTTGCTGCCGAGTTAGCAGAGCTAGTGACTTCTAGGCAGCAGCAAAGCAAGCTCAAAGAGTTCAGGGTGAGAGGCTTCCACATAGGACAGCAATTGCTTTTGTGAAATGAGTGGGTTGAATGAGTTGCCCTCTAAGATTGTCTTCCAGTTGTAGCATATATAAAGGTCTGTGTTTCTACCTGATCTTCCTCTACCAGCTGGGCCAGTGTCCTGTCTGCCTGTGTCCTCCCTGGAAGCTGCAGATTTCAAACACAAAGCACCCCTGCCTACTGGATGGAAGGACAATTGGGCTGACCGCCTTGCATATTTAGTTTCTCTGGAGCACTTTATTTCAACAAAGACTGATGTGTGCCCTTAAATTCCATGTCACCGTAGGCAGCGGGCCCAAGTTAGACACCGAGGAAACTCACCCAGTGAAAGGCTCCAGGGACTAAAGCAGCAGGCAGCAGAAGCTAATGCTTGCTCTTCTCCTCAGCTCTGCCCCCATCAGAAAGTTCAAAACCTCCTGCCACATGTCTTAAGAAGAGCTGGATCTTAAGTATAAATAGATCTTTGAAATGAGTTGCAGTGGAAAGTAACCTTGATTAAGAGTCAGACATTGGCTCTACTACAGTCGACCTTGTCACAATGTTCTCACCTGTGAAATGGGAAGGGTGGCCTTATGTCTTTGTAGCACCATTCAGCTCTTTCGTGCTGCCTATGAGTCTGGCTTTCAGCGGCATCTACCCTTTAAAGAGGGTTAATGCTAAAGCAAAGCATCTGTCTCCATTTGAGCCTAGAGTGGGGCCCTCTGCATGGAGCCTGGGCAAGGGTGATCCAGAGGAAGCAGCCTGTCACCTTCTGGAAAGGAAAGCCGGACTTACAGTGTAGAAGTTGAGAGACAACTGGCTTTCAAATGTGCCCGTACTCCCGTTCTTCACGTGCACAGTGGCCACTCTGAAAAGGGGAGAGAATTTTGCATAAGGACTGAAACACACCCGGTTGATAGGGACTGCGGCACATGCCCAGGCGGCCAGCCCTCCACTCCGCAGGGCACCTTACCTCTGGTCAAAGGCAGCCTGGTTCACCAGGTAGGTGGAGTGGTAGGTGCAGGAGAAGGAGTAGTTCACCGGCTGGTTCTTCACGATCACTGTGCTGTCGTTGGAAACGATGTGGCTATAGAAGTGGTAAATGGGAGGCTTGTACTGGGGGGAGAAAGAAGGAAGGCATTGTTTAGGTGGCCCTGTGCCCCCGGAAGAGAATCAGGGCTCTGGGTAAAGTGAGTGAAGATGGTTCAGAAGAAAGCCCACTGGGGAGATGTGAAAAATTCACTCCTTTTGTCTGTGGGTGAGCTCAACTAGAATTTTCAACTAGAATGGTCTAAAATAATGTAGGTTGATGTCAAACAGATAGAACGAAGGGGAAGGAAGATAGGAGAAGGGTACATAAAAAGAATTAGGGTCTGTTACACACATGTGCCAACTTCCAGTGATGAATTAATCATTATGTATTCAAATGGAACATAGACATTTCATGTACTAAGAACAATACAATTTAAAAAGTCTGTAAAGTCGTTGGGCTTCAACCAAAATGAACCAACTGAAGAATCTCTATTTCTCAACATCAACTTTTTATGCATTTCCCCTATTTGAGTACCCTAGGCAAATATCTTCACCCATCTCCCACATCTAGAGCATTACTGTCTAGCTTGCTGCTTTTTCCTTGTTCCTACTCTGCATACTATTTCTAAGACTCTCTCCCCTGACATGTTGGACTTTGAAATCACAGACTGAGAGCTGGAAGGGATCTGGACATCCATGGAGAGCAACTGGCCTGAGATCACGGAGGGCAGTTTCTAGTTCACCTTGCCAGGATATGCTGAAGAGCATGACGCTCTGCTAATCATACACTGATCCTGTACCCATGAAATCTCTGGATTTTTGTGGGCCTTTGGATGAAGAGTTGGCCCTGGAAGCTCTAAACCACATCTTTGGAGACCCTCAGGGGTATGTATAATCTTCTGGTATCAAGCAGCAGGAGGGCTGGATCAGAGGACCCAAGCTTGCTGTGTGACTGGGGGTCCCTTCTGGTTTTGTAGCCCTAAATTAATGTCGTCTGGGCAGTCTCAGATCTCTCCTCTGCCGCAGAAAGATACTTGGCAAAAGGAGGTCTGTGTTTCTTTAGGATTCCACGATTGTCCGTCCTGGATTCTGCATGTGACCCAGTTAAGGGTTGTGTTAGATTCTGGTCACTCATTTAAATTGGTCTTCCAAAGGCGTTTTATTATTGTTTCTAAGTTCTGGGAAAGGTGCAGCCCAGGAAGAGTGATAGTTTATGAGAACAAGCTCTGAGTTTGAAGTGAGTGAAGAGGTGAGAAATATACTTTGTTCTCGTCACAGAAGGTGACTCTGTTGGCTCTGGCAGCAAAAAAGAAGAATAAAAGCCAAGCCGGAACAATCATTGAACTACGCAGATTCTGCAAGGATTGACTTTTAACAGCACATTCTGAATCCTCTTCAGGAAGGATAGCAAACAAGGCATTCTTGGGCCAAGTTGGCTTGTTTTAAGCAAGCTGGCACGCTGTGGCTCCACCTTACCTCAGACTGGGTTCCACAGTAAGACTTGTTTTTGGGTGATAAGTCTGGGATGACAAATTGGTAGTAGCCGCCTTCGTGGACCCCATTGTAACACAGCCCCCCGAGGGCCAGCTGATGCACCTCCCATCCATAGGGGCACTCGGGGATTCTGGTGATGATGGTTTTGGGGTAACAAAACACGAGAATGACATCTGGAAGTGCACACACATAGTTTGAATCAGACACAGTTGTATCAGTCTACGCACTGAGCTGCAGATCCCGTGCACCCCTGGAAGAAACACTTCCCTGCTGCTCCTCCAGCTGTTTGGAATGCCCCCAAATTTTAGCTGCGGAAGTTCTATTCTGATAGTTTCTGCTGTATCTATTTAATAATGGCATATACATTGCATATATATATATATATATATATATATGTATGTATTTAAAATGGTCCATTTGAAAACTTTCACTTTATTTTTGGGACTGGACCTAGGCAATCACAGATTGGAATATACTGTGCATATCTCCCTAAGAAAATGAGCACATAAAATTTAAAATGTCCATTTCATACACAATATGATAAAACATCGGTTTATGACACAGGACAGAAATTCAACAGTCAAATAGAAAAAAAGAGGGTAAATATTTTATATACAAGAGAGGGAGGAGGGAGAGTGAGTGTTCTTTAATTTTAAAAAAGTCTATGCAGTATTTTTGCTTCCTGTGGGAAAAGCCCCTTGGCGCTGGGGCCTTCCGTGCTTTTACTTGGTTACATGGCTGTACTTTGGAAACAAAGCCAGCAGGAACACAGAGCTGCAATCACTGCCAGGGAGGCTCCAGGAAAGGCTCCTGTCCAGGAGAGCCGCCCCATACCTGCTTTGTTTGGAGTGCACGATCTTGCTGAGGCTTCTGCAAAGACGGCCAGCAGGACAAAAGCCCTCACCACCATTGCTGCTCCGTGCTGACTGTGTCCTTGTCGGGGGGCCAAATCAAACTGGCCAAATACGGTCCTTCCAGCCTGGTCCTCAATCATTCTGGGTCAGAAACACAAGTGAAAAGTTAAAATCAAGGGTTGGAACGAAGTAGCACTGTCCCCTTGGGGGACAGTTCCAGGGTACAGGAGCGCAAGCGGGGAGGCTCCTACCCCTGGGAGCACTGGGAACACAGGCAGGTGCTCCAGTCCCCGGCTGTCTCATCCTCTCTGAATGGTGGGGCTGCCTCCCAGATGCTCCCCAAAGCTCCGGCCCCAGTGCTACCTCGACCTTATATAGCCTGAGCATGTAAAAGAAACCGCTCCAGATAAGTCACAATGAGCACCCATTATCCACTGTGGGGGGAATAAATGAGGACCTTGCACAATAATCCAACAAGAAGCTCAGTTATCACTTGAGTCTAATTTCCTTTACTTTTCAGAATTGGGGAACTGTTTTGTTTTTTTTTTTCTTCACTTCTCAAAGCAGGACTAGAAGTTGATTTTTTTTTTTTTAACCCGTGTACAAAAAAACAATTCTAACTGGAGGCCAACTATTTCTGCAAAGGTCCAGGTGTCAGTTTTGCTCATGTATGTCTTGTTTCCTTTGCTTCATTTCTTGCTTTCTTATTTTTATATTTAGGAGAACTAAATTTTGAATTTAAGAAGACTCATGCCCAGCATCATTATATCTGACAGAAAAAGGGCTTGTATCAATGCAAACATTTTAAAGGTTATTTTTCTCTAATATTTTAAAAATAAACTCTGATATCTAGAGCTTCATTCTGGAATGTGGCTATAACTGGCATACCCACTGGCCTACTAAGTTTTATTACTCTTCCGGAGCAATGACAGTGGAGGAAGCAGCTTAGACTTTCCCATAATTCAATCCTTAGTCACCTAACAGGACCCCACTAAAATGGCAGAGAGTGTGTTGTTCCCATAAAGGGTCCAGCTATATTATTGGCAGTGCATATAATTTCACGTTTCAGAAACACTGGCTGTACCTCAGCACTATGCCTACATAATACGGTAGAGTTGGTTATTTCCTCAGATCTCTTGTTAAATTGATGGCATGTTTTGCAAAGATAGCATGAAAGAACTAAGGAAGTGTCTGTATGGCAAGCTATTAAAAAGCTCCTGTGACTCAGTTTCCTTCTCTGTAAAATAAGAGGCTGTAACCCTGGACCGATCTCATGGGACAGGAAAGCAAAACAATGATGGTAAGCCTCTCGTAAACTGTAAAGTACTAGATAAATATATGGATTTATAAGAAAAGTCAATGAATAGTCTCTAGTAACATGTATGTGTTCCAAGAGTTTCTCCCCTTCCCCCTTAGAAACACCAGAAAGTATCTCATTGTAGACCTAGGATTCGTGTAACCAGGGTCATATCTATATTGTATAACATGAATGCAGTCATTTTATGGAGAAGAACTGAAGGAAAGAGGACAAGGGAATATATTTTTTAAAAATATTTTAATGCCAGGCTTGGTTTTAGTTCAGCCCAGAAACATCGGCCACAGTTTCTACTGTGTTCTTCATAGTTCATTCCTGAGTGGGTAAAAGACGTGGGAATCTCAGAGGTGAGTTTCTCTTCCCTAGGAAGCAGCTCCAGCTCTCTGTGTTTCTTCTCTCCTTTTCATTAAATGTTTATCGAGTCCCCGCTGTACACTAGGTCCTGGACCTGGAAGACACAGGCATCTCAGAAGTCGTTTCTTTCCCTGAGGAACTAGTGGGAAGGCAGGGTAGAGGGCATGGGAGTCTGTACTGGGGAAGTAGAATGAGAGAGGGAAAGAGAGGCATTGAGAACGCTTGACCGAGGAAGGAACAAGTCATGCCAGGTCTTAGAAGCTCAAAACAAGCCAACTGCATAAGGACCGTGCCCCTGACGTGACACAAATTATTGCTCTTCGCTGACCATTCAGCATGGCTCTCCCATGTGGGTTGGGACGCTTTAGTCCCATTCCAAGAGGCTCCCTTTCACGTATCTTCAAATAAGCACTTCTCACAAGCCAACTCGGGCCCACAAGAGTCAGCAGGACCATATCACTGCCCCCTCAGGATGGGTCCTCCCATGGAGGGGCTACAGTGGAGGGTGATGCCTTTCCATCCCCAGTGGGACATCTGAGGGAGCTGGCAAAAGGCAGCAAGCTGCTATGGGGTGAGGTGAGCCTTAGACGCTACAGTTGACCTGGAATTCAAACGCTATCTTGGCCCCTCCCTGGCTGTGCCTCCTTGGGTAGGAAACTTAGCTTTTGTGAGCCTAGATTTCCTTCTCCCTTGGAAGGACGTGATAGCGTTTCCTAGAATACGAGGTGTAACATACTCATGTCTGCAGAGACACGCCTCATTTTCTCCTATCAGAGCAAGGCACCTGGAAAGCCTTTTGTTTCTACGTCCTACTTGAGCAATCCAAAAGTCTGAGCTTGTTAGGAGTGTGTCACCAGTGCTAGATTATGTCACCCTGGAATTAGAGGTCGTCAGTCACATTTTTTTGTGTCACATTTTCAATTGTGTGATCTTGGCAAGTTAACTGGACCCTTCTGAGCCTTCAGTTTCCAAGTCTGTAGCATGGGGCTTCAGATCGCCCATGGTTGTTGCAAAGACACAATGAAGTAATCCCTGTAAACTGCTCAACCCAGGGCCAGGCACACAGTAAGCAGTAAAGACTTGCTTCCGAAGTTGGTATCTTCAGGCCGGAAGGACATGTTGATAGTGTTCCCAAATGAACTCCAAGTGCTTCTTAATGGTCACTGTGCTCCTCATAGAAGCCACCTTAACAAAAGAGTAGGTGCTTTTGGTTTCTAGAGAGGCCTAATAATAAGATTCTGAGACAGAGAGAGATCTCTCCTACAATTTCTCGGAGTGGAGACCCAGCCAACAATCAGGTACATGATACTCCTTTCAGGGACAAGCTGAATCAAGTTGGGGAAGTGGATTCAACTTTTGTGGCAGGCTAGTCTCTAGATGTTTAATTTGCATAAGAAATAGAATGGGACAAGATGTACTTGGGCCAAACAGTATCTGATACTTGCTCTGATAAAAGGCCAGAGGCTTCTATTTTTTCTGGTAATTACTCACCATTCTGAAGCCCCACCCTAGTCCGCTCTCTGTTTTCCAACACTCTTCTCCTTGAGATGAAGACAGAGTGAGCGGCTCCACTGGGAGGTGGAATCCAAAAGCGCAGTCTCTTGCTGAAACCACTGCTAATTCTTCAAAACCACACTTTTCCTTCAAGACCAATTAGAATATCTTATCAATCCCAGAATTCCAAAAGAGCCCAATAAAGAGGCCTGTCTGTCCTGCCTCTCTTTGATGAATTGCCAAGCAAGAGAGGGTATCTGTTCTATTTGAAAGTCCTGAGTGATTAGTGAAAGCTGGTCCAAACACAAAAGGATTGTCATTTGCAAAATCCGATCAACATTTTCAGTCATGGTTCAGAAATCATCAGTAGGTGATAAGTCATGATAAAGTATACTAATAAACTCTTATAGAGGTTAAAGAGGGAATTTAATTATAAAGCAAATAAGCAGGCATTAAAGTTTAAAAAGCTGCTATGTCAACTTATTTTTAAAGTGCATGGTTTGAGTTCATTAAACATTGAACTTATTAAGTGGACTTGATTGTTTCCTTTCAGCTCTGAAGCAAGACTTTCACTTGTGGGAGGATCGATTTGCCAGGTGAGTGTGGGTTCCCATCCAGGCCTCCCAGGCTCAGACCTCACAGCAGTCCAAGGAATTAGTCATTCTCCAGAGAAAGTGTGCTTCACACAGGACAATGGAGAAGTGAGAAAAGATCTTCTGCTAATAGTGCATGAGGCATTCAGAGCAAGAAGCCCCGACCCCAGAGTGCAGGCTGCAAAGCGCCACATCATCTCAGGCAGACAAACTGGAGTCTTCTCTAGCTAACCTCCAAACAGGAACAATGTCTCCCTCTGAAGAACAGGACCCACGATCCTATCTCTTACCATCCCGTTAGCTCCCTCCCTTATCTGTCTCTCCACTGTCCTCTCCTCCACGGCCAACCACAAGGCTGAGAATTAAAACACAGTTCCTCTGCAGGTCAAGAGTAAGGATCTCTGTTGTGGCTTATATCTAGATGTCCACTCCGAGTCTCATGCTCTCATAGGTAGGGCTTTGGTGGAGGACTGGATCATGGGTGTGTGATAAGGACTGGTCCACTGATTAACACAGTTCTGGGTGTGGGGTTACTTGCTGAAGAGGGAAGACCCACTTGGGATGTGGGTGGCACCAACCAATAAGTTTGTAGCCTGACAGAGTGGAAAGGGAAAGAAGAAGGAAGACATGCTGCTTTTTTGCCAGCCATGCCATGGACTGTTTTTCCTCTGTTATGCTGTCCTGCCTTGGAGCCAGCTGGGGACGGAGAGAAACCCCTAGGAATTGTGAGCTACAATAA